CGAATCTGCAGTGAAGAGGAAACTGTGAACACACATCTTTAAAGAGCACCTATTATTCCCCTTTTACAATATGTAATATGTGACCCTGGAGCACAAAACCAGTCATAAGGGTCTGGAAATAGCTGAATAAATAAGCTTTCCATTGATGTATGGTTTGTTAGGATAGGACAATATTTGGCTGAGATACAACTATTTGAAAATCTGGAATCTGAGGGTGCAAAAAAATCTAAATATTGAGAAAATCATCTTTAAAGTTGTCCAAATGAAGTTCTTAGCAATGCATATTACTAATCAAAAATTAAGTTTTGATATATTTACGGTAGGACATTTACGAAACATCTTCATGGAACATGATCTTTACTTAATATCCTAATGATTTTTGGCATAAAAGAAAAATGGACAATTTTGACCCATACAATGTATTTTTGGCTATTGCTACAAATATACCCGTGTCCCCAGAATGTGTCTGTGAAGTTTCAGCTCAAAATACCCCACAGATCATTTATTATATCATTTTGAAAATGTTGAGTGGAAGCAGCAACAGGCTGTTTTTGTGCATGTCTCTTTAAATGCAAATGAACTGCTGCTCCCCGCCCCCTTTTCCAGAATAGGACTGTGCCTTTACAGCTCATACGTCAGATACTCTGATAAAAAAAAAAAAAAACTTTACAGCTCGTATCTGCTAAAAAACATCTGTTTGGTTTTGATTATCATGTCCATCACATTAATATAATTCGTTTTAAGCCATATTAGTTTAAACTTCTGATATACGGGTTTTCTGAGCGCACACATCCGAAGCATCCATCACACGGCATGCAAGTACTAAACTAAGCTCCCTTTCATGTCTTATTGCGCTTAAACGGTCAAATACACACAAGTTACAAAACTAGTGGGTTATGTCTGTGAAGGTAAACAGCTGAGATGTTTATATTAGATCTGTGACAGGTGTGTGATGGAGGCGGACCTGCTTGAGGAACTCCTCGAGAGCCATCTCTCCCTGCGCCACCAGCAGCACGTCCTTCACCACCATCTCGTTCTTCTGCAGGTCCACGTCCCAGATCTGACCCAGACTCAGCTCGGACAGAACCCAGTTCACATGCAGACGCTTCATCAGCTGCTTCCAGTGCCGGTCCTTCAGCGCCTCCGACTTCAGCTCGATCACCAGCATGTTCACCTGAAGAGGACACAGGGAACGGTTTAGGTGTTTCAGCGGCTCTATCCCAGCATCCTCCGCTGATAACGCAGGACCGGCTCACCTTCATGTACCCCTTGAGCAGTCTCTGCACGTACTCGTAGGAGGCGTACTGCCGCAGACGGGCGGGGAAGTTCTTCAGCTGGTTGAGGAGAGCGTCCAGACTCTGGCGCAGCTGTACAGAAGAAGAACACAGACTCAGTGAAAGCCAGGCTCGGGTACGAGTCACACGAGAAGGCAGGTGTGTCGCTCACCTTACGCGGCTGCACAGAGACCCACGGCTGCTCCTTCATCTGATCGATCTGCTCCCAGACCTTCGACAGCTCCGACCAAACACCCTTCAGATCCTGCAGCTCCTCCAGAGCCACCTGACGAACAACACGGACACGACACGTGTTAACAAGAGGGCAAGAGCAAGTTTGATCTCAAAATGATGTGTGAGAAAAC